GGGTGGCATTAGTATTCTGACCAACCAAAATAGTGAGAACTTGCTGAAACTCCAGGTATTTAGTTGAAACCCCAGAAGGGCCACAACTCAGATGCTGGGCTGCTCTGGCTTTAAAGAAAGAAGTAGGAAAATGTGCCCTGTACCAGTATAAAAAAAATCAATGGAAACATACCCAGAAATGACAGAGATGTTGGAATTAGCAGAAAGAACTAAAACGGTTATTATAAATATATTCAATTATTTAAAGGAAAATAGTGTTATTTAATGAACAGATGGGTAATCTCAATAGAGAAATTAGAATTATAAAACAAGAGTCAAATGGACAAATTAGAACTGAAAAAAATATGAAATGAAAAATTCATTGGATGAGCTTAAGAGAAGATTGAACACTTTAGGAGAAAATATGAGTAAACTATCCAAATTGAATTAGAGGAAAAGAGCCTGAAAAAACAAAGTGTCAGAAATCTGTGGAGCAATATTAATTTGTCTAACTTATGTGTAATTGGAGTTCCCAGAAGAAGGAAGAGTGAGATTGAAGCAGAAAAACAAGGATTAAATAATAAGCAAAATTTAAAATTGATCTTTAAATTTTGGAACAGGGCAAGGATGTTCACTCTTAAACTTCTTTTCAACATTGTATTGGATGTATTAGAATTAATAAGTGAATTTAGAGAGGTTGCAGGATTCGAGGTCAATATACAAAAATAGTTGCATCTCTATACACAAGGAAGAAACAATTGGAAAATTAAAGGTCAATTACATTGTCAGTAATATCAAAAATATAAAATACAGAAGAATAAATTTAATGAAAGAAGTGTAAGACCTCTAAACAAAATACAAAAAAAAATTGCAAAAGGGAATAAAAGACCTAAATACATTGAAAAATATACCATTTGTGGATTGTAAGATTTCATGTTGTTAAAAAATCAACTCTTCCCAAATTGTTCTATAGATTCATACCAGTTGAAATCCAAGCAGTTTTTAAAAATAGAAACTGACAAACTGATTTATATGAAAGTGCAAAGGACTTAGAATAGCCAATTTTATTTTAATAAAAATAGCCATTTTATTTTAAAAATAAAGAACTTACAGTACTTAATTTCAAGACTTACCTTAAATTATTATAATCAGATATTATTATTGATGTAAGGATAGACAAATAGATCAATAAAATGGAATAAAAGAGTCCATAAATAGACTCACACATATATGATGTTATTGTTTTAAAGATGACTATGAAATCTTAGATACATCTCCCACCAGAATGTGGGGTTCACTTGAATCTGTATGGTACTGCATCTGTCTTGACCAAAAGAATATGATGGAAATGACACTGTATAATTTCTGAGAGTAGGTCATAAAAGACAGCACACCTTCTGCTGGGTTCTCCTGGGACACTCCTTCTGTGGGAAACCAGTCATTATGTAAGAAGTTTGACTACCCTGTTGCTTCCATGCTGGAGAGGTCGTGTGTAAATATTTTGGTTGACACTGTCAGCTGAGCTCCCGGCAGCCAGCCAGCACACCAGTCATGTAAATGAACCATATTTGATACTGAGCCTAATTGAGCCTTCAGATTCCTGCAGTCCCATGTAGTGTCTAAATGTATCCGCATGAGAAACTCCAGGAATAAACTGTCCAGCAGAGCCTTTCTTGGATCCATGACCCATAAATTAGCAAAGTAAAAGCCTTGTTCTAAGCCAGTAGTTTCTGTGGTAATTTGTTATGCAGCAAAAGTAGCTGCGTACTTTAATGGGCAAATGAGAGTCTTTTCAAGAAATGGTATAAGGACAACTGGATATCTGCATGGAAAAAAAGGAACTTCAGTCCATACTTTGCACTGTATATAAAGCAGTAGCTCAAATTGGAGGATAGACTCAAATGTAAAAAGAAAGTATATAGGTCTTCTAGATAAAACACATCAGACTGTATTTACATAATGGGATATTCTCAGCAATAAGGAAGAAAAATAACCTACTGATACATGCAACATCATGAATGTATCTCAAAAACATTTTTCTGAGCAAAATAAGCCAGACATGGAAGAGTACATGTTATATGAACACATTTATATGAGGTTCTAGAACCAGCAAAACTAATCTATGGTAATACTGAACAGTCGTTGCCTCTGTGCAGATGAAATTCTGTCACTGGTTCCTTCTGTTTATGGCAGGATCCCCAACACTGATTAGTTTTCTTTCAGCTGCTTTTGTGGCTTCCACAGAAATATTTCTGCTGGGGCTCTCTAGTTGTAATTGTCGTCATTTGAGTCTCAGCCCCTGCATATCCAGTGGCCCATCCCATGCTAATTCTCTCTTTTAGGGTTCCATCAGGGGATCTTCTGAGCTGAGTTAACTTTAAGGCAGCTCCAGGTCAGCTTTCTTCCCCATATAGTCTACATCTCATCACTGAAAATGCTCACAAATTCTTGCCCCATCAAGAATTGCCATTTGTTTCCTGTGTAGGGTTTTTCCTTGGAGTCATGGATTTCAGCTTCTTGCCTCAGACTTTTTCAGGCATGATTCTGACACCAGCCTTGGACCCCAGATAAGCCAGGCAGTCA